TGTAAGTTCAAAGGGGATAATGCGAGGTGGTAGGAGCGATAGTGTGTCGTAAGATCATAAACATCATCCCAAAGGAAAGGCCAATGAGGAGAACATATCTGCCAATCGTCAGCTCTGCCAGAGGCTCATCAAGGTAGAGCTTAATCCTCACTTCTATGGGGACGTCCATCTGGACTAATATCTCCCAAACGTACAACATTGTGAGGCTGTAACCTTTCTACGAAGCTCAAGAATCTTGCGCGTTTAATTTGCCCAATTGGTAACAGCACAACTCGTACTCTCGCAGGAGCAACGGGCGACAGCTGATCGAGCATTGTGAGAACATTTGGATGCAATGCGCCTAGCTAGGTAGAGCTCGAGTTCGTGATGCGATGATGGTACTACCGGTTCAAGACGAGATACATGACTGTTGGGAATAATAAATTAAATGTCCGGAACTTGTAGGAGCATAAAACAATAAGATATCGTCGATAATGAATTTATTCCAGAGCTCTCTACTTTGAGACGATGATAGATAGATTGTCCCCTGTTATACGTTGACCATTCTGCGTTATTGGTAAATTGCTTACGTCTCCTAGTTGCGGTAAGGCTACTTTCCGGGCTAAATTCTTAACTTCACTTCACCTCATCTCACTTCAATATGTCACTCTATCCAGGTTCAATTATATCTATGTGCAGCAGGCGGGACTTCATCTCATGCCACTATCTCAACTTGGTAATCTTATGAGCGGTACACTTACTAGATCTCACTCACTTCAGATCTATGCCAGTTCATAGACAAGCTCTTGCCCTTGGAGTCTTAACAGCTAATACATGGTTTCCCTTTGACCCCATTACGAGACATCTGAGTATCCTAATGGTGTGGCGAAGGCTAACCGGTCACTTGAATGTTAGCTATCATATGTGCATGCTGCTGGTTATATCCTTCTGCTCACAAAGTAGTCGTTGCTCTGCATGTCATGGCGACTATCCTCTTGTGGGATGAATTCTTCTCCTTCAGACTACGTACAATTTAATATCGCCCTTATGATTTGAAATTGATACATCTTATAAGCAACCCTGATATTGGCGGGTGTCCTCTACCTAGCAAAGCCACTTCAATGCCTATCAGGATGCAAACATGCCTCTTTACCACTTCTTCTGCTTCTTTGGAGATACTTTAACAGTAACCTTCAAAGAATACATCAGCTGTCAAATCGTGACGATTTAACCCGGGGGACTTACATTGGGATAGACGCAGCTTGCATTACTTGTCGCACAAGCCGAGCATCTGGGCAAACTTCTGTCACACCCAACGTGTCTTTCATAACAGGTGACGCAAGCGCGGACCGACGTAGTTGTGACCGCTAAGATTACTCGAGGTGGTGGTGCATGTACTTGCGGTCCGTGAGAAGGATTGATATAATGCTCACTTCCTGCCAAAGAGGATGGTTCACTGGCCTTAGGATCATCCACATCGACGTCAATGGTCGTCGAAAAGTCTCCATATCCGCCTCTTCGCACAGTGTCGTCGTGAGAATCCTCCCTCCAGTAATCATGAAGAGACATACGACCGTTAATCCTCTTCCCTTTCATCTGACCTGCAAGCCGATTGATAGTATCAACAACTGGTGGGAACTCTACTTGCTTTGGGCAGTTGGCAATTGTATTCGTGACGTGCCTGGGGTGTGAGTTGGTCTCATCGCTTGGTTCCATGTACTTCCCGATTAGTTCGCCTTGTTGTGCAGGAGCTTTATCCTTTCCAGCCGTGCGTTTCATCATGAATTGTCTGTTTCCAACCCCATGCACATACTGGCTGGCAACCCATTCTTCTTCCTCCTGAAGCAAACATTGTGAGACCCATGTCGATCTAAAATCGATGCATTCGGTATGCTCAACTCTTTTATGAACTTCGTGGATGCTGCTTATAACACCGCTATTATTGAAGGTGAGGAGCGGAGGTTGTGTAGTACACCTGATCACGCGATCCTCCGCGACATCAAGGCGCACGAAACTGCCGGAAGAAGTTGTGCTAGCTCCATTTATGGGTTGAAGCTTGCTGGTGTCAATCGGTTTTGATTTTGTTCTGCCCATGGTTATTATGGTAGCTAGTTCAAAGGAGACTTTGAAAGTTGTAAATTGGCAGAGGGTGTGGATGATTGTTCTTGCGTGGTTGTTTACAAAAGTTGGGTTAATCTCCAGTCTCTCAAGTCCATGAATTAGCCGAAGCAAGCCGGAATTGTGGTCATTTTTAAATGGAAATGAGAGGTTTCCAAGGTTATTAGTAATTCAGTATCATCCAGTCTATCTATCTGATAGTGAATTTTGTTGTGACAGTGAATTTGTTGTGTTTTCTTTGATTTTTATCAGTCTCGCAATATAGTAACTCCACACACCGTCTTGGATCTTGAATGCATCTAGCATGTTGATATGATTTAAGAGGGACAACAAAGACTATGGAAAGAAGGCAAGTGCTTTCTATAATGATATCTGGTCTTTAGCATCATCTCGGCGCTGATTTCGCTCAAACTTGTCAAGTCGATTTGAGCGATTAATCACTGGGGCGCGGGATGGTCAATCTATAGATGATTCATACATTTCCTTCCAGCTTTCACAGATGAAATCCGTTGTCCATCTATTTATTTTTCCAAGATAAGAGATGACATACCTCCCTGTGCCAGTTCCATACGCACCAGATGAGCTCCAACTGTATCAAGGCTACGTAATCAAATATTTGGTGGGTGATATTGCATAGAAGAAAGGAGATAGACCGCAAAATGAAGTTTAATTCTCTGGTATATTCACTCTAGAGATTTTTGATATTTTTATCCACAGCCATCATGAATATATCAAGCTTGCTAAAACATGTTTTCAGCATTGGTCACTTTTACTCCGTCGAAGATCGATTTCTGCATAAATGAAATCTTTTATAGTGTTATATTAGTACAATGGCAGTACATTTATGATTATCACATTAGGTCCTTGGGTTCATTCACACTCACATTCACTATATTATCATACTATCAATGAAATTTTATTTTGTTTTTCAACAGTTTTTGTATTAATATGCTATTCATAGACCCAGACCTGATTTAACTTCAAAATAGGAAAAGTTATCAAATTCAAATCGCTTAGCAAGCACCAGAGCTTTCAAAGAGTGGAAAAGGACAGTACCCAGTCAAAAAAATCATTCCTTGAATGCTTTCTTGATTGAACCCATAACTGACTTACCGAATGCCTTCAATTTATCCTTCCTGCTCTGTTTTCTGAAGGGAAGATTGGGTTGGATGGGCAGAGGTGCCACATCCTCTAATTCAAAAGCTAACGCCCCAATCATTAGGTCCGGACAATTATACCAGGCATAAATCTTCCTTACCTGTTTGCCCAAAGTCTGCGCATGATCCGCACACATTCTGGCCACAGGCCTTGCGTTCGCGGTTCCCATTAACATCTTGAACCAATCACTACATGTGTCGTTGGCACCCCTTTCGAAAGTAATCCTCTGCTTGTTGCCCGCACGCATCGACACTGACGAACCACCTTCGGCTATAATCACATCCTGGATCGTCCAAATAGTCCCCTGATTGATGATATTATCAATGATAACATACTTCAACTTTTTAAGACAGAAATCGCCCGGGTGAGTGATCAAATGTAGAGTACATACATCCCGCCAGGTTTGGTAAATGAGTTCACTATTATGCAGACGCCCAGGATCCGTATCGGGATCCCAATCGGCCATTGAATCCTGGAATTTTATAACCAATGTTCCTGTTTTGACAGATGCATGAACTTCGGCTATACATCCAGTAATCCCAGGCAGAAGCATTTTTAACTGGTCCATCTCATGTACTTTCTTAGTGAAGAAATTGTATTCAGACCACTGTGGTCCTGATCCGTCAATCTGCAGTTCTGGGTCCGAGAAGATAAAGCCCGCTTCGTCTCTCTCCAGCATGCTGGGACTTTAACTCCGTGCTTCAAGGGATCACTCACGTAGCGTGCGTGCCAGTCGGGATATAAAATGTCTCTGCGTGGATTCAAGGTGAGGGAAATTTGGTTAGCGAGGAGCACGGCGGTACCGCGTTCGAGGTATCTTTCCGGTGCCAAAACTTCTTCAGTACCACCTCTCGTACACATTCCCCTGAGGCGAGCTGGTCGATTAACTTTGTCCATTTTGCAAAAGTTGACTTACTGTTTAAAATAGACTTGCTTTTCCTAGACTTGGTGGCTTTCAAATAGAAGATCCTTTTAGATGTTTGCTTTCGATGCAGATGTAGGATGATGAGATAAATTAACAATGGCATTATAGATGGTTTTTATAAGGTGAGTTTGGTATTGTTTAGTAATTGTTTAGCTGTTGTTTTGTAAAATCAAAAGATTATAGCTTTAGATGTGGTCTTATTTAACTATTGTTTTCATATTGGATTTGAAGTCATAGGAATTTAAGAGTTGGAACAATATCTTCTTTCTATAGTAGAACACAAGTTTATATACAAAGAAAAAAGATTAATATTGTGACCAAAAGGGTGTTTATAGACCAGCAATTGTATTTAACTTAGAATCTACAGGTGAAGAGCACCTGTAGATGGGGATAGCTACTCTATATACACACAAATGAATGGCCTAGCCGCAATGGCTAGGCAAAAAGAAGTCATATTTACCCCTCCAATGATCTTACTTTACCGATAACCATTGATACCTAGTACTTGTCCGGATCTGATCCTCAGGCCACCTAAATCGTATACTAATCCCGAGTAATCGTATCATGTGTGGACATGGTTTATGTACCTGAGGTTTCTTATATAATAAGGGTGGGAGGAAAGCAGGGGTTTCCGTCACAAATATTATAATATATATATAATGTTAAGTATAATAAATCGAAGATAGATCAGAATATAATTAGTATTATAATAATATAAAATAGAAAACTTATTAAAAGATTGGGTGGAAGAGGCCTCTATATTGACTATATTACTACGTCTGTAGGCATATTAAGATCTCCTCTTGGTATCCTCGGAGGGGACCAATATGCCTGCTTATGGTTCGTCTAATCTAGCCTGTTTAGGTAACCGTATTACTAATCACGACACGTGATTAGTACCGGTAACTTCTATTCCTTTTAACAAAACTCTTATATATAAAATTATTTATTTATTTAAATTAGTAAGATCATATAATTTTTTTTTTAAAAAAAACCTCCCTTTTATAATATATTTTAACATTCAAATAAGAAATAAGAAATAATATTTCAGAGCTTGATATATTTATTATATTCCTTTTTTATATTTTAATCAAAACATAACAATTATATGATTTTAATTTCTCGAGAGTTTTAAACAATCTAGATATCCCAAACTATACAAATATCAGCATCTAATCCAGACTCCAAAATCAACATTAAAATCCCACACCTCAATATGCCCTCTCTCATGAATAACACCCTACACACCCCTAAATCTCATCCTCCTCATCATCAAAATCCTCCCTATCCTCCGCCCCCATCTCATAAAGAATCTTCCCCCCACTCCCAATACCCCCCTCTTTCTGCGCATCAAAATAAGGCAGAACAACATTCTCCCTATCCCTCTTCTGTTTCTCTGTCAAGCCTAGATTAAACGTAACATCAGCCTCCATCCCCTCATCCCCTCCCTTGGCCATCGAATTATCCCCAATTTCCGGCGCTGCAAAAGCCGGGTGTTCATCGAGGAGTTGAATGGTACCGAGATCTTTAGTCGTGGGAGAAGAGCTATGATGTGGAGGTGGTGTATAAATGAAAGTTTCGCGAGTGCCACGACCAGATTTCCGCCGCATTTCGAGCGTTAGGACGATTTCTCCATTTTTGGCATCGGGGGTGTGGCCATTTCCAAATCCTTTAATTACGCCCTCTTTTCCTTCTGCGATGCCAAATTCGGGTTCTCGGGCGGACTTATCGCGTGCGCGTTTGCGAGCGAGTTCGTGGGTGAAGTTGTGGGGTGAGAGGATGGCGGTGGCGAGGAAGAGGAGGGTTGTTAGAGGGTTTGGGGTGTATGGGTTGATGTTTGTAGAGGACGGTGGTAAGGGAATATCAACGTGGTGGGTGCAGAGGAGGGATATAGTTGGGTGGATTATGAGGGAGGAAAGGAAGGGGGAGAGATGGTTTGGGTGAGCTGCAAGTGGATGAAGATTATCGATTATGAGAAGGGTTTCTGGATCGTGTTAGCTGTATATTCACCTGGTATATGAGGAACGGCGTAGGAACATACTTTGCTGAGATGCCGATGGAGGGGTTGTAGGTGAAGGTAAATGCGCAACAATCTCTCGACGAAGCTGTGAAAGTGGTTTACCATGTGCTGAGACGAAAACATCCGGGGTAAAAGGTAATCGTTTCTGAAGAGTAGAGAAAGAAATAAAGATGACCTTCGACTTAGAGATCTATAAATATGAATCAGTATGAAAATAAACTAGCAAGAAACCCCGATTCCAATAATTCAACACCCAAAAGCAATATATCGATACAAAAGACATCAAACTTAATTCACGTGATCATACACAAACACAAATTTCCACCTTCGCACGAAAACTACTCGCACCATCCAGCATGTATGCATATCCTCCTCGGCCAAAAGTCCCAATCCTCACCATTCCCCCAACGAACTCCTGAAAAAAACAGAACAAAAAGAAAGAAATCAAAAAATAACCCACCAAAGCCCTCCTCCAAAACTCCCTAACAATCAACCTCCCACTCTGTTCCAACGAATCCAACACCAATGTAAACGGACTCGCTCCATCTCTAAGATTCAATAGTTTCTGAAAAAGTAACGTGTTATGTGTTCTTCTTTGTTGAAGAGGTGAGGGCGCCATTGTTCCTACTTATTTTTATTTGTTGTTTGGTAGAATAGGATAGGATGTAGAAGGGTAGAAAATGGGTGTATGATGATTCTTGTGTGGCGGGGCGGAATAAGTAGAATTGATAGCAAGTGCGTGCTAGTGGGTGGGAGCGGGAGGAAAGATTTTTTCCATTTTAGGGTTGGTGAGCACGGGGTAATTTTTAGTTTTGGGATTTCAGACTTTGAGGATTCGTGATCAGATGGATATCAGGCTGTTTCAACAAATTGAAATGTATCTTTTTTTTATAAATATTCATTTAATATCAGAATCTTACCTCTCTCCCAAATAAAAATAGACATCTCGATCAAAAATTAAAAGCATAATATGAGATCACGTGACGTACCATTTTCCCTTTTATAAATTCCATAGTTGTTAAACTAGTCAAGACAGGTTTGGTCAAAACTTATCCAGATTTATTTAGTAAGAGCACGTCATATTGCATTAAAAAGTCCATCTCATCCATTAGAGTAAATAAGAAAGGTCTCTCAGCGGATACTTTCTATACCTCACCGGGAGATTTTTCCTCCACCAGCTCGACTCCCACCCAGTCTCCCACACATTTATATAGGTATGTACACAAGCAAAAATACATAGACTAGTATTCTAGCATGTAGATATAACATCATTTCATTTCACTTCCACCAACTATCACTTTATATAACAACAAAAGCAGCTATAGCACGACGAAGCTATATCATGGCAAACAACTTTATTATTTACTCGCAATGACTTTTCATCTCATCTTATCTCATTCCATTGGATTCCATCCCATCACTCCGAAACTCCACGCCAAATGCATATTAACCCATCCATCCTTGTGTCCATCCATCCGTTCATCCGTTCATTACTATATCTTCAAGGAAGTGTATTCTACTTCACCCGAGTATATTTATCCCCCACTTAACTCTGCCACATATACTCACTCAACTGCAACATACACTCACCCATTCCCCTCTTCGCAACCGTCGTAATACCCCTCTCATTACTACCCAACGGTTCACTGAAAAACAACTCCACCAACGCCTTCAACTCATCATAGTTAAACTTCACTTCGTCTTCCGCAGGCGCCGCCACTTCATTCCCATTTCCATCTCCACCTCCAGCACCACTTGAGCCACCATTTGAACCACCCTTCTCCTTCGCCCATGCAACAATGCCCTCAGGTCCCTCTTCAAATAGTCCCCAATACCTGCTACTCCTCACAAGTCCTACTCCATCCTCTACTCCCTTCAAATTTTGTTGTAGCACTAGTACATTCAATCTCATTCTCTTTCCTCCCTCTTTATTAATTCTCTGTATCTTGCTCGCATTATCAACCATGAAAGTATCAATTAGCAAACCCAATCCATTCCTTACAAAATTGATTTCTTTGTCTCTTAGGAACTTCACTATAGTTTCATCGTAGGCTACCAAATCCGCGTTTAGTGATAAGATAGTTGGATCTGGCTCCGAGACTGGTTGAGAGAGAATATATGGGTAGGGATTTGAGCCCGAGGAAGTTGAGAGAACACGGGTTAGGGAGTGTAAAATTTGAATACGTGTTTCCATGTGAAGCGTTAAGAGGACGGTAGCGGCTAGTTCTTGGTATGAGGAAACTATTGAGTCGAATGCGCTAAATATATCACATTAGTCATGTACCAAATTTATCATAAAAGATAATAACTTACACAACAGTTTCCTGCGTCATAGGAAGATAAACCATGTTCTGCTCATCCTGACCTCTAGGATCATTCAGCAAAGTCCAACGTCTATGCGGTGGTTTCTGCATTGATTGTGTACGGGATGAGTCTGCATCATTCCTCGTAATATGTCTCAATTGTCCAATCTTGATAGCTAACCATTTCATACTAGTGTATAAAACACAAAGAGATGAAATAGTTTCACGATCTGAGATAATATCATCCACCTGAAGAGGATTCTCATTTGTCTGTAGAATCAAAAGATGAGTTTCCTTGTCCAATAATTGACGATCGACTGCTTCACTTGTCCAAATTTTCTGCATAGTATCATGGACATCGCCAGGCTCACTAGCAAGCAGTGCAGATAGCTTAAGTGTTGAGCCTTCGGAATCACTAACTCGAGATACTAATGATTTGAACCAGTCATAACATCTATCATAATATCTCATCATCTGGGTGATGATAAGTTGACTCAATGCTTGATCGTGGGGAATGGTGTCCAACATTCTACAAAATGCTGTAATCAAATTAAAGAAAGCTGCCGTGCCTTTAAAGACAGGTCGTCTCGAAACTCTTGCCCATTGTGCATCTTGTTGGAATGCATCAGTCTCCTCAAACACCGAGTCACTAAGCTTACCCAGTGTTTCATCAAGTTGAGGTAGAAAGACATTAACAAGAAAGTTATCCAAGAACGATGTCAAAGTACTTGTGACTAAATCCGAACCAGGCGGGACAATGGCTTTCAATCTTTGTAAGAAGCTCAATGTAGGAGGTAACAGCAAGCTCATGTTAAACACACTCGGCTCTACCAAAGACTTGTGCGTTCCCATACCACCAGTTTTAGCATCAAAAGCCGTACCAGTTAATCGTTTTGCTCCATTTCTTCCAGCCGAACTCTCCAAGAAAGACTTAGCTTTCTTACTATCGGCACCTGACTTCCTTGAACTCGACATGAGACCCGGTACAGCAGCTCTGATGATATTCTCCAACTCGTCATATTCAGTTGTCATATGAACAGACTTAGCATCCGCATCCGAAAACTTAAATAGCTTCTCTAACTTAGACGACTTGGAAGCACCAGGTCGAGGAGAATCAAATTGGTATACATCCGCATCTGTGGTCACATAATTATGTAAAAGAGAGCGAATCTCATTCTGATATAGATTCCACAGTTCTCTGAAACCACCAAGAAGTACAGTCGAATTCCTCATACCCTCTCTCTTTGTAGTATTTTTACCACATCATAGAAAACACGATGACCCTCAAAGCGTTCCGCGAATTTTGCGTATAACGTCCGAAGTAAATCATAGA